TTACCCGCCGCACGATGTCACAGTGATGTTTGTAACGCGTCCTGACATGTTACAGATTTACCCGTCGCACGATGTCACAGTGATGTTTGTAATGCGTCCTGACATGTTACAGATTTACCCGCCGCACGATGTCACAGTGATGTTTGTAACGCGTCCTGACATGTTACAGATTTACCCGCCGGCACGATGTCACAGTGATGTTTGTAACGCGTCCTGACATGTTACAGATTTACCCGCCACACGATGTCACAGTTGATGTTTGTAAACTCCGTCCTGACATGTTACAGGATTTACCCGCCACACGATGTCACAGTTNATTTATTTGTGGCAAGTTTCCACATACGCCCTATCGGATTACACATGCTATGTGAACGTGTGTAATCTATTCCTCATTTTACCTTATATTTCAGGCATGTGAACAGTTTCTTGTACTTGGAACAGATGCAGGGGAGCTCAAACTCTACCACCTTAGCAATGCCACGGTTAGTATATATATATATATATAATATATATTTTTAAGCAATTTTCTTAAGCAGATATTCTTCTCAGTATGTCATGTCATGTATCCTGACTGTGAATCCTGGCATTTTACANCGTGTGTATGTGTGTGTGTGTGGTGTGCGTGTGTGTGTGCGCATGTGTGTGTGTGTGCGTGTGCGTGTGCGTGCGCGTGTGGGTGTGCGTGTGTATGTGTGTTCGTCTATTTACGTATGCATGTGTCTGTATGTCATGAATATATATGTAAATACATGTTTATTTGTGGCAAGTTTCCACATACGCCATATTGGATTACACATGCTATGTGAACGTGTGTAATCTATTCCTTATTTTACCTTATATTTCAGGCATGTGAGCAGTTTCTTGTACTTGGAACAGATGCAGGGGAGCTCAAACTCTACCACCTTAGCAATGCCACGGTTAGTATATATATAATATATATTTTTAAGCAATTTTCTTAAGCAGATATTCTTCTCAGTATGTCATGTCATGTATCCTGACTGTGAATCCTGGCATTTTACATAAGCTATTACACTAAATTACATTGTTAAGCTATTACACTAAATTACATTGTTAAGCTACTACACTAAATTACATTGTTAAGCTATTACACTAAATTACATTGTTAAGCTATTACACTAAATTACATTATTAAGCTATTACGTAAGCTATTACACTAAATTACATTGTTAAGCTCTTACGTAAGCTATTACACTAAATTACATTGTTAAGTTGTTAAGCTATTACGTAAGCTATTACACTAAATTACATTGTTAAGCTATTACGTAAGCTATTACACTAAATTACATTGTTAAGCTATTACGTAAGCTATTACACTAAATTACATTGTTAAGCTATTACACTAAATTACATTATTAAGCTATTACGTAAGCTATTACACTAAATTACATTATTAAGCTATTACGTAAGCTATTACACTAAATTACATTGTTAAGCTATTACGTAAGCTATTACACTAAATTACATTGTTAAGCTATTACGTAAGCTATTACACTAAATTACATTATTAAGGTATTACGTAAGCTATTACACTAAATTACATTATTAACCTATTACGTAAGCTATTACACTAAATTACATTATTAAGCTATTACGTAAGCTATTACACTAAATTACATTATTAAGCTATTACGTAAGCTATTACACTAAATTACATTATTAAGCTATTACGTAAGCTATTCGGACTGCATGATGATTGAAGTCATTTTGATTTTGATACAATATCTATCATGTATGTAGTATTGTGAATCAACCATGCATGTCAGTGTCTGTAATGTCAATGAGTGTCAATGATTGAATGTTTCAGGAGGTGGGGAGTTACGTCTGCCACAGTTCAGCGCTGACATACTGCCAACCGTCATCTGTAAGTCATCTCTTAGTGCGGCCATCTTGAATCATGACGTAAATGTTACGCCACAATAAATTATTACGTATCCTCATGTAATCAAACAGTATTTAATAAAACATATTTAATCAAAATAGTTTGATTAAGTATGGTAGTAATTTTATTGGCTTGATAATACTTGATACATGTACTACAGAAAGCAGGCCATCATTCTCATTTCTTAAACTAGCTTGAAATATATAGATGAATATATAATATATATAATTTATTATATTTAATAAATTATATATAAATATAAGTATATAATGGATAATTATATGTAAATATCATTTAAATAGTCACTAGTTAGAAAATCTGGCCTGGCCATGTAATCATTGTCGCTGCATGCATGTGTGAAGCACAGTCACAGATTGTGTGTTATCAGCTTTAGATGTTTCGTCTGTCGATTTTCGCTAAGAACCAATGATGAAGCGGTAAAAGGGCTGATGCACTGTCGGTTACCATAGCAACAGGTCACGCGATCAGCTCAGAGATGTGGTTTCTCCGCTCGCACGAAGTGATGTGCGAGGGGGCGGTAAACGTTACATCCAACATTACTTGTTCTTGGATTCCTGGAGCGTATGGAGGCGTGCGTGTCAGGAAGCTATGTGAACGTACATTACTCCCTGACGTTGTGCAGTGGTGTGGTGTACCGTATCGCTGTCACATAGGGGGCGCTAGTGAGCTGGTCGCGTGGCCGCGTGGCAGCCGGCATGTCCGTGATAACAGAATGGATATCTGAGGTTCTTATATTCGAACGACAATTCTAAACATTAGCACTTGCATGCGACAGAGTATCAGAGATCAGTGTTAGCGAGTGTTAGCGTTTTTCTATTTATACATGGCAATAGCTTTCAACAATAGACGTCTTTCAATGTGAAGTGTGAGTGCACGCATCACGATCATACAGTCAATGCTGTGCACACCATTGCGCGTAGTCACCGCACTATAAGATTCCCGTGAGATCTCGCGAGATAACGTGATTGTCGTGTGCGTGCCGGCAGGATGGGCGGCTCATGCTGACGTCGTCGTACTGGCGGCGCCCCCTGTCGGCGCTGTGGAGCATGGGCGACGTGTTTGAGATCAAGCATTCGTTCGAGGACGACCACCACGTGGAGTTCAACGCTCTGCAAGATCGCATCATTGGCACCAAGGACCAGATGGCTAACGTAAGTGTTGCCACCGGCGCCGCCTCTAGCGCGAGCGTTTTAGGGAAGCCATCACTTACACGCGTGTATCCGGTCGTGATTGTATGTATACGTATGAAGGACCAGATGGCTAACATAAGTGTGAACCACACCAACGCGCGCATGTGCGTTTTCTAAATTACGATTTCTAAATAGTTTGGTTTGAACTTGTTTTTATGTAGTTTGGTTAATATTCAGAGCTAATTTTAATTGCATAATGAGTTAAACTATGGTAATCTATCTATTTGGTTAATAACATTAAATAATTATTATTATTTTCTTCATTGATTATACTCACAGATCTATGACGCTAGGATAATTTATATTTAATAATTAATATAATATATATATATAATATCATATATATTATATATAATAATAATAATAATAATATTTAAGGTAAATTTTGTATCATAAACTGTTCAATCTCTAGTTATCTCTAATCTCTTATCTATCTAGTGATAATAATATTATTAACGTTAATTATATTATATGTTATAAATTTTAATCGGCAATGACCTTCACAGATCTACGACGCGAGCACGGGTCAGAAGGTCGTCTCGCTGTACGACAAGGACTACTGCAACAACTATGCCAAGAACATTGCGACCTTCAACCCCACCGACGACCTTGTGCTCAACGACGGCGTCCTCTGGGACCTGCGCACGCAGCGCCCCCTGCACAAGTTCGACAAGTTCAACCCTAACATCAGCGGCTGCTTCCACCCGCTCGGTCTCGAGATCATCGTCAACTCGGAGATCTGGGACCTACGCACATTCCACCTGCTGCACACGGTGCCGGCCCTCGACCAGTGCCAGGTGAGGAGGACGCGGCCGCACGGCGCCAGTCTAGACACGACAGTGTCCTTAGTAATCTATATATATTAGTATTCATATTAATATTAGTATTAATACTAATATTAATATTTATATTAATATTAGTAACCTATGTTATTTCATAGTGCCTAAGGTAACCACGCTCCCCCATGGAATTTGTTGCTAGGGAGGACAAATTAGAAATGTTTATGCGCGTTTTTCACACATGCACTCCAAATTCTCCGCCTTGCAGCACTTTGTTGCTAGGCAGGAATTTTAGAACTCCTGTTGCAACGCTGATTGGCTAGAGGCCTATTAATCACTTGTGTGGATAGGTCAATTCGTGTTATGTGTGCCGATGCGTTGTCGTGGTAACGGTGCACTTTGTTCCTGTCCATTATAGAGATTTTGGCCCTTGACTTTTCGCTGCCAAACGTATTCATTTTTTTCTGCAGTCGTTTTCTGAGTGGTTTGTCTGTCTACCAAATCTGATTATTCTTAAAGAATTATTCTCCTCTCCCCTCGTCAGCCTCCTCTTCCCACGTCACCCTCCCTCTCCTCGTGTCAACCCTCCTCTCCCCGTGGCACCCCCCCCTCCACTCTCTGCAGATGCAGTCACCCCGCTAACGCGCAGCTTGCTCTGTCTGCCACCAGGTGGTGTTCAACAATGCCGGTGACGTCATATACGGGGCGATGCACGAGGAGGAGGAGGACGACACGGCGGAGGACTACCACCGCAGTCCCTTCGGCTCCTCCTTCCGCACCTTCGACGCCACCGACTACTCGAACATCGGTAAGCTCTCCGCCAGGTGGCGCCGGTGGCGCGGTCGCTGGGTCGTCGGTTTGTTAAAGGTCGTTGGTTTACGCGAAGAAACTCGTGTGTATGTGTGTGTGTTGTTATTGTGCAGGCATTGTTGAGAGAAGATTTTATCTATCTTTTGTCATGACATTGACGTACTGGGTTGGTGTGTAGAGGGGATTTTTGCACCAGGGAGAAATACACATTTTACATACCAGGGTATTTGCTTATTTAGCATATGTCATGTGCTATTTTTAATGATCCTGAATAGCCGAGCTCGTAGAGCACAGTCATTACGTCTGAAAGGTCGTTGGTTCGAATCCCATCTGTTTAGTTTATTTTTTTATTTTTTTTATTTTTCTGTTTAGGGTTAGGGTTAGATTAGGGTTAGGGTTCACAATGCGTATACATGTGTACACATGTGTATTATGGACCCGAGCGATCCCGAAGTTGCGCCCTACTACCGTTCGGCTATTTCCGGAAAAATGAGTATTTCTCCCCGGTACACAATTCTGTAGAGGGTAGGTTCCATAAGGTGTGATTTCGTGTAGGGAAAACAGGAGTAAGCTAATCCTGAAGTGATGCAGAGATTAAGGCGTTCATATGTTGAACAAACCCCGCAGCTGTGGTGACGCGTGTGTAGTGACATCAGAAGTGACAACAATGTGATGATGTAGTTTAAGCAAACTCTGCTACGGTGACGTAGTCGCGTAGTTAGTTAAGCAATTACAATAACATGTGTTGAGTAACTCACTAACTTGTCATATTTCGTTGAATCAATTAAGTAAGAGTTACAAGTTAAGTAAAAGGTGGCATATTCATGTGGAATAAATTTCCGTTATTAGTAGTCAGTCGCTTGTGTAGTTAGGTTGCTGTCATGTGCGTCTGAAGCATTGCTTGTGTGTTGTTTGCAGGGGAAAAATAACTTTTTTCACGGGAGCTCTTTTTCAAGTCTGTGGAAAAAATACCTCTTGTCAAAAATTTGAAGGGAGCTATTTTGAGCCTCACGGGAGCGATTTCTGAGGCTTGAAGAGCGAATCGCTCATCGCTCCCGTGTATTTTTTACCCTGGTTGCTTGTCGCCATCGACATGTTGCTTGTTTGTTGCTCGTCAACGTTGTTTGTTTGTTGCCGCAGCGACGATTGATGTGAAGAAGAACATCTATGATCTGTGTACGGACAAGTCCGACTGCTTCATCGCTGTGATAGAGGTTCGTGTCGCACCCCCTCATTCACTGCTGCAGAATGCGTGGGTGTGCGTGCGTGCGTGCGTGCGTGCGTGCGTGTGTGTGTGTGTGTTTGTTTGTGTGTGTGTGTGTGCGTGCGTGCGTGCGTGCGTGTGTGCGCGTGCGTGCGTGTGTGTGTGTGCGTGTGTGTATTTGTTTGTGAGTGTGTGTGCGTGCGTGCGTGTGCACATGTGTCGTGCGTGTGTGTGCGTGCGTGCGTGTGAGTGCGTGTGCGTGTGTGTGTGCACATGTGTCGTGCGTGTGCGTGTGTGTGTGCGTGCGTGTGTGCACATGTGTCGTGTGTGTGCTTGTGTGCGTGCGTGCGTGCATGCGTGTGTGTGTGTGAGTGCGTGTGTGTGTGTGTGTGTGTGTGTGCATGTGTCATGCGTGTGAGTGCGTGTGCGTGCGTGCGTGTGTGTGCGCATGTGTCATGTGTCGTGCGTGTGCATGCGTGCGTGCGTGTGTGTGCGCATGTGTCATGCGTGTGCGTGTGCGTGTGCGTATCTCGTGGCGCCCTCTGCCTGCACGATGGTCATCATCGACGTCTCCTCTCTCTATCTATCTGTCATCGTCAGAACGTGACGGGGGAGGACGTTCCGGAGGAGAGCTTGTGTCGCATCTACGAGGCCGGGCGGACGCGCGAGCAGGGGGAGGACATGGAGGAGGAGGACGAGGAGGAGGGTATGGACGATGATGAAGACGACGATGACCAGGACATGTGTAAGTAACCGCCGCCAAGGTCGCGACTTGGGGGGGTCAAGGTCACGGTAGGGGTTATGGCAGGAGGAGGACGAAGACGACGATGACCAGGACATGTGTAAGTCACCGCCGCCAAGGTCGCGACTTGGGAGGGTCAAGGTCACGGTAGGGGTTATGGCAGGGGGAGGGCATGGAGGAGGATGAAGACGACGACGACCGGGACGTGGGAGTCACCGCCCGCCGCTGCTGCTGGGGTCAGGGCTGGGGGCTGGGAGTACGGGCAGGGTTATAGTTGGGGTCACGCTGGGGTCAGGGCTGGGGGCTGGGAGTACGGGCAGGGTTATAGTTGGGGTCACGCTGGGGTCAGGGCTGGGGGCTGGGAGTACGGGCAGGGTTATAGTTGGGGTCAGGGCTGGGAGTACGGGCAGGGTTATATTTGGGGTCATGCTGGGGTCAGGGCTGGGAGTACGGTCAGGGTTATAGTGGTCAGCTGGGGGGTCACGGTCAAGGTCAGTGTGTGTGTGTGGGGGCCACAGTCAAGGTCAGCATGGGGGGGTTGAAGTCAAGGTCAGTGTGGGGGTCGCAGTCAAGGTCAGCATGGGGGTGTCACAGTCAAGGTCAGCGTGGGGTGGTCGCAGTCAAGGTCAGCGTGGGGAATCAAGGTCAATGTGGCTTCATAGTGTCACCGATTGTCGTCTGCGTTTTTTCAGCGCTGTACCAAGATGGCGACGACGATGACGACCAGATCGACATTGCGAGCGACAGCGAGGCGTCGACGATCGAGGATGAGGAGAACGACGACAGCGAGGACGACGATGATGACGATGACGACGACGACGACGCGATTGACGACGACGACGACGACGACGACGAAGAGGTGTTGTTTAGTCTAGTGGAATTGTGATGCGGCGCCGTCAACGCACGCACATACACACGTCGGGGAGAGTGGGGGAGGGGCAGGGAGGGAGGTAGCAGGTCAGGGGATACGTTCTAAGAGTCTGTTGCGTTCTAATATCAGTTCACTTTCGTCGTTTTTTTTGAACGACGGACGTTAGATCGGATGGCGGCGCGCGAAATCGCGGCGACTGTGAGATGAGATGAGCGTCTGCCGTGAGTCGTTGCTAAGTTACGGTGCCGCGTGTAATAGCTGTTGTTTCCTGCGCTGTGGTTGGTGGGTGCGTTTATCGCCGGGGCTGTGATTGGTGGGAATGTCTCCCTGTTCTGTGATTGGTGGGCACAGGTTATCTAGGTGCCCTATGATGTATACACTAATGTGTGTTCACATCTGCATATCCAGGGTAGAGGGAGCGGGAGATATCCAGCTCCAGGGTAGAGGGAGTGAAAGATCTCAAACTGCAGGGTAGAGGTAGTTTGAAGTCTCTATATTAGGATACGGATAGCAGGAGATCAGTAGATGCAGGGTGGAGTTGGTAGGGGCTTATGAGTGGCAGAATGGTGGGAGTCTTTCGCGATGGAACACAGTGGGTAGGTTAGGCCGGTAGTTACTCATGCAAGGAAAGCTGCCGGTAAAAACAGTAGAAGCTGCGTGCAGTGAGGCGTCTGCTGCTGCAGTAGCCGTGGTAACCATGCTGCGTCCGTCAGACGCGCACGTCAAACGTAGATGCTCCCGATTTGCTCAAACCCTTCGATCTCATCGCCTCGACGATAGCAGTAGAACGCACCTAGATGGCGCTGGCGTAGCTCAACGAGATGACGTCTCCGGGGCGCCGCGCGCGATACCGTAGGCAAGAGGCGCCCCCTGTTGTGCGAGATTCTAATGCGTGGTCTTCTCTTCCAGTGCACAATCCAGTGATACAGACTGCAATGTGGGAAGCTCCTCTGGGCCTTGTACTATTATTGTATGATAGTAGTAGATGTCGGCAGCGCAGGCGGTTGCGGGGACCATGCTCGCAGCGGGCGGGTGCGGGTGTATGAGCAGGGGGAGCAATCCTCTTACTGTGTAAGTGGGATTGCGTAGTACCGCTACTTATATATGGTGCTACTATACCAGCCTTGCTCCGAGTCTCAGCACTGTGTTGTCTCTCTCTCTCTCTCTCTCTCTCTCTCTCTTTCCCTTCTTACTCATAGTAATTCACTCTCTCACAGTCTGTGCCCGGCAGGCAATTGAACGTCCATGAGCACAAAAGTCGATGGCATTTTAGATGTATAGTACGTATTATTTCGTTCCTTGGCGGTCATGCTGTTTCTCTAGCATTCGCGCCGCCGAGTTTTTAACTACATGTTTGATAAACCAACCGCGAGCACTAGTGGGGTCACTTTCGATCGTGAGTGTGTACGCAAGCCGTCGTCGCAGATTTAACTCCTATCTCTATCGTGAGATGTGTCGTGTTAGCGCGCCTTCTCCGGTGCGAATCGATCGGCTGGAGAGCTGGTGATACTGTCCGAACGTGGCAAGTACCAGGTGTGGGGAGAACAAGCCATTTTGGCGGGGGCCGGACGATATCGTGTCTTAGTGTAGAATTTGCCGCCCACGAAGTACGTTGTTACGCGGTCGAGAAGTCGTGTGTGTGCTCCTTGTTGGCTGGACTAACTTTCAGCGAAGTGTCTAATATGTGGATCGATTGAACAGCGGTCCGGCTGTAGAGTTCTGTATCTTGTTGTTGCTCTCTAGAAATGCTACCCCGCGCGCGCACACTCACCCACGCATGCACGCGTGCGCGTGCGTACCGCAGCATTCGCTTGTACATATATACGTGCTGGTGCGCTATTGTAGTAGTGTGTGGCTGTAAGTGGTCAGCCAGCAAAGGCTGTGTGTGTGTGTTCGCGTGATCGAAATTTACAAAATATAAATGAGTAGTTGTGTGCGACGCGATTGCGTTGTCGAGCTTATTGGAAAATAAAGCGATATTTTGTGTAAGTTTATTACTTCACGCGTGTTGCCTTGTTGTTTCGTTGTCGTTGTGTTTTTTTTATTTTTTATTATTATTATTATCTTGTTATTATTAATAATAACATTATTATTTGATTGCATGTAATTCAAATACATGTACTGAAAATGTCTTTTCCAGTAAGAAAAAAATCTGATAGATGCAATTATGTTGAGCAGTCAAAATAAAAGCATATATGCATTTTCGCTTTTCCCTTATAAATAAGGTTGCATGTATGTGCTAATTTGAAAGAGCGGGAGGTGTGAAATGACCGCATAGTGAGAAAAGGTTATATGCTTTTGGCTGGTGTGTCACGTAATTCCTTAATTCCCAGAAGCACGGAAACCGCTTTTTTACCGTTTCGATTTTTAGATGAAAAAATGAATAGTACCAGACCAAAAATTATGTCATGGATTATTGAATAATTGTCTGAATTATATGGAATGACAGAAACTGTGCGTGTACAAGGACATTGTCAAGGTTGAATAAATGGATGGATATAGGTGAGCACTACGGGTTGCAATAGAAAAGGTACAATTGTGCAATTAACTAGACGAGAAGGGAGAGAAGTTGAAAGACTTGAACAAATCAGATGAATGGGTGTCAACGCGATATAACGGATTTACTAATAATTTTCATGTGACCAGGATAAACGTGGTAAAGCGTTATACGCTCAGTATGCAGGAAGCTAATACGGAAACAATAAGAATAAGAATAGGATAAGAAAAACTTTGCTGACCTAACGTGAGCGTTTTTAGATACCCAATGTAATCTGAATTCTGTCAGAAAACGCATGAAAGGACATTAATTGAATAAAATATACATGTGTACGTTGTTGGAAATTATAGCGATTCGGTCGCAGCACGCGCAAATAACATTACGCGAGAAACTAAAATATATTCGTGAACATGGAATTTTGGCATAATAAAATTTATATATTTATTCACAAGCCAATAACATACGTCACAGCCGTTGCTAAGTTACGTGTAGTTTCGTTGTTTGTGACGTCACCCCATTCACTCACGTCTCGAACGATACCAACGAGAGACAGCTCCTGAGTCCTGCTCGCGTGTGTTACACATGTACGCGCGTGTATTCCTCCATTTTATATAGAAGATAGGCCTACCCCTCGGAGATCATGGGGTGCGGAGCATCTGTAGCAACAACGTCAACCCCATCCAGTAATGGGAAGACAGGTAAGTCAATGACGACTGTTTACAAGTTTTGTGATCTTGCACTCGAACTCGAAGTCATATCATTATCAGTCACAGTGGCAGTGCCAGTGGCAGTGGCAGTGCCAGTGGCAGTGGGCTCAATCATCATCATCACAAACACATTTTATATCAATGACCATTTTGATTACAGTCCCTTAGACTATAAATAATATTCCTCACGATGGTATCACCATACATGGACACCGTAACCTCTACCATGTCAGAGTGTAAGCCAAAGAACTGTGGCGCTAGGTAGCCTAGGATATATAAGAACTGATACATGGAGAGTCTTGCGTTGATAGAATAGTCTGAAAACGTATTTCACTTTTAGCGATGGATTGATTCATTCACTAACTAATTTATTGATTCTTTGATTGCTTGATTGATTGGTCGTTTATGGACGCGGGTCCTAAAGTAGATTCTCTTAGTAATAATATCCACGATAATTCGTCAAATGTTGATTGAATGTGATGAGATGTATTAACTATTATGTATATATTGGATGGGGGTGTGGATGGATCAAATGTGATGGACTGATTTGGCAGAATTCGGTTAAACTTGTGTATCAGATTTAGGTCTCTAAATATGTGAGTAGGCTGTTATTTATTGCAATTTGTTATTATTTGAATTGAGTTCATTTTTTACCTTTTTTTGTAGATAATACTGTGGCAGTGGTGAAGAAGACAGCCGGAAATGTCAGGTACACAAGCTGCTAAATCCTTCATATAGTGACTGACATATAGTGACATATAGTGATATATAGTGACATATAGGGACATATAGCTGAACAAACTATAAGAAGAAAAATTAGAAACTATTGAGATCATTATGTGTGTCTACATATTTTTATATTATGATACCCATACAAATAAATAATCACAAAAATGGGTACTCATTAGTATGTGATACATATTTTACAATAACCATGATTTTTTATTTGTTTCACATAGTCCCGCTAAGAAAAGTGTTGGATCGAATTTCCCCGACCTTTCTAAGCACAACAACTGGATGGGCAGATGCCTAACACGTGAAATTTATGAAAAAATCTGGGATAAGAAAACGCCTTCGGGATTTACATTGGACAAATGCATTCAGACGGGAGTTGACAACCCTGGCCATCCTTTCATCTACACAGTCGGTATGAGCATAGCCATCCTAATATATCATATATTCAATGATATAAAATCCAGATAGAATTAATTGATTTCATTTTTTTATAATTACACACACATATATATATATATTATATATATATATATATATATATCATTTCAGGCATTGTACTTCTAATTGATGAATCATATACTAATTAATATAGTATAAAATATGCACTACGTATTGCATGGTTATCTTTATGAGAAATTATGAAGGATTATTGTCAGGACTCCTTTAGTTTATAAAATGACCACTAGGTGTCAACCTAGAAGCTATTTACAGTGCAACCACTTTCAGGGGCGGATCTAGGGGGGGCGCATTGGCGCGATTGCGCTCCCTGCTGTGCACAAATTAACAAAACAAAAATCTGAAAATAACTCAGAATGCAGGAAATGGCATAAATTTTTTTTACAATTTTCCGGGGGAAGCCCCCTGTACCGTAGCTGTGACTTCGCGCCGTCGGCGCTCGTGCCTTGCGCCTGCGGCGCACGGATTCGTCCACAACTACTCACTATGATCCGGACTTGTTACCACCCACATGTAATCCTAGATCCGCCCCTGACTTCAGACAAACTTCATGTGCTGTTAAACCCATTGCAGGATGCGTGGCGGGTGATGAGGAATCCTACACCGTCTTCGCTGACCTCTTCGATCCGATCATCAAGAAACGACACAACGGCTATGCAAAGGACGCGAAGCATCGCACCAACCTCAACCCGGAGTTTCTCATCGGAGGCGACGACCTCGACCCGGCATACGTGCTCTCCTGCAGGGTGCGCACTGGTCGCAGCATCCGCGGGCTGTCGCTGCCGCCGCACTGCACGCGCGCCGAGCGCAGAGACGTAGAGAAGATATGCGTGCAGGCGCTGGATGGCCTCACCGGAGCTTACAGCGGCAAGTACTACCCGCTAGATGGCATGACCGACGCCGAGCAGGAGAAGCTCATCGACGACCACTTCCTATTCGACAAGCCCGTCTCGCCGCTGCTGACGTGCGCGGGGATGGCACGCGATTGGCCGGACGCGCGCGGAATCTGGCACAACGACGACAAGAACTTCCTCGTGTGGGTCAACGAGGAGGACCACAGCCGCGTCATCTCCATGGAGACGGGCGGCAACATGAAGGCCGTGTTCAATCGCTTCTGCGAAGGTCTTGCCAAGGTCGAGTCGGCCATCGCGGACGCGGGCCACGAGTTCATGTGGAACGAGCATCTAGGCTACGTGCTCACCTGCCCTTCAAACCTCGGCACAGGGCTGCGCGCTGGCGTCCACGTCAAGCTCCCCTTGCTCAGCAAGCAGCCGGCGTTCGAGGCGCTACTTGACCACCTGCGGCTGCAGAAGCGCGGCACGGGCGGAGTCGACACGGCCTCCACCGACGGAACCTTCGACATCTCCAACCTGGACCGCATCGGTCACTCGGAGGTGGAGCTCGTGCAGGCTCTCGTCGACGGAGTCGAGCTCTTCGTCAAGATGGAGAAGGCCCTCGAGTCGAAGAAGAACATCGCGAGTCTGCTGCCGGCTGACTTCGTCCACGTCGAACCGAAAGGTGGCGCCGCCAAGGCAGTCGCCGTCGCGTCCAGCAGCTATCCAAACTTCGCCAAGCACAAAAACCACATGGCCAACTGCCTGACGGCAAAGCTGTACGATCGGCTCAAGGACAAGCGAACACCGAACGGTTTCACGCTCGACGACTGCATCCAGACGGGCGTCGACAACCCCGGCCACCCGTACATCATGACCGTCGGCTGCGTCGCCGCCGACGAAGAGAGCTACTCGACCTTTGCCGAGCTGTTCGACCCCGTCATCGAGGTGCGCATGGGCGGCTACCGCAAGGGAGACAAGCACAAGACCGACCTCGACTTTGCGAAGCTGCAGGGCGGCGACGACCTTGACCCGGCCTACGTGTCGTCGTGCCGCGTGCGCACCGGCCGCAGCATCGCCGGCTACAACCTGCCGCCCGTGTGCACGCGCGCCGAGCGTCGCGCCGTCGAGAAGATCCTCGTGGACGCGCTCGCAAAGTTGGACGGAGCGTACAATGGCAAGTACTTATCCCACTAGATGCCGCATGACCGACTCGCACAGACAGGAGCAAGTCTCATGCGATCCACGCGACTTGCTATTATTGACGAAGCCCGCGTCTCGCCGCTGCTGACGTGCGCGGGGAGGGGGGGGGGGGGGGGGGGGCGGGGGCCACTGGGGGCGCAGCGGGGGGGGGCGAGGGTTGGGGCCGGGGGGGGGGGGCTGCGGGCGCGGAATCTGCAGCTAACGACGACATAGAACTCTTCCTGTGTGGCGTCGAACGATGGAGGACGACAGCCGCGGTCGACTCCTATGGAATGTGATCGGGCGGCGGGGGTGGGGGGGGGGCACCATGAGAGGCCTGTGTTCAATCGCTTGGCTGCGAAGGTCTGTGCAGAGGGGGCGAGAGAAGGGGCCGGGATTGGAAAGGTGCAGGGGCCACGGGTGTCAGGGTGTGAACGAGCATCTAGGCTACGGTGCTCACCTGCCCCTCAAACCTCGGCACAGTGGGGGGGGGCCTCGGGGCGGCCGGCGGATCCGCCATGTCATAGCTGCGCAAAGGTGTCCGCGGGACTCGGCGCGGTTGGAAAGCGCCATATGCTTGGCAAGCTGCGGGCTGCAGGGAGCGCGGCGACGGGCGGAAGTCGAGCGACGGGCCATCCACCGACGGGAACCTTCGACAGCGTCCAACCGCGAGACCGGCATCGGATTCTCTCAGGGTCGGGGGGAGCGTCGTGCAGAGAGTCGGTGAGACGGAGTCTCAAAGGCTGCTCGTCGGCGATGCCGAGAAGAAAAGACTAGAGGCAGTGAGAATCCATCGTACGACCTCGTTCCCCCAGTGAGGAGCGGTCGGCGGCGGGCCGGGCGGGGGAGGGGGGAGAAACGATCGGACGACGACAACTACCTCTCTTTCCTGTCACATTAGTCTCTGAAACACCTAAACTTTATGCCACTCCAGGTTTGCCTGGCGTAGGGATGGGAGATATACTAATCTTAGATAAGATAAAGTATGGCTTAGGGCCTACTAATTTTGGTAACCGTATATTATATATCGTTTATACAAAATATATATTTATATACACAATCAAATCACATCTGCTGCTGTATGTACTACCTACTGCTGTATGTACCAAGGTATAAACACCTTGAAAATGTGATAAACTTGCGATATCTCTAGCAATTGATAAAAAAATACGATTTCAATCTGTGATAGTATTAGACGCGTGTTTTACAAAGCAAACCATTGTTAACCGATTTATATATGAGATAATAAAAGCAATAATTTTCCACAGAAATGCTAGTTTCTTGCATATTACTTATCGTC